GGCAAGGAGATGTTTGAGGGAGGGTTAATATCAGAGTTAAGTGTTCTATGTATGTAATAAGTGCAAAAAATAAGTATGGATGTTTTGTATGGTGAGTAGGTTGAGTGTTTTGAATATTGGTGGAGTGTGCTGCCTGTAGTAGAATTTGTTATTCAACTGCAGCCTTTTTTTGGGGTTTAATTAGTGGCTGAGATGGTTAGTTGTTGTTGAGCCCCATGCACAAATTCCATAGGCGAGATAGGGGTAATAAGAGAGTGATAAAGGGCCAGGAGGGCTGACTGTGGAACATAGTACCGTATCTTCGATAGTATGCCTACAGTCTTGGCTTCTGTTGCTGAGGTAAGACTTGAGGTAGTTGAGGGAGTGCCCTCTAACCATAGTGTGACAATTTTACATGGAGCAAGTCATGGTCAACTGTAACAAAAGCTTTACGTAAGTCAATGAAGATCCCCAGTGGGACTTCTTTTTTTCTCTATTGCAGTGTATATATGTTCTAGCATGTGTATAATAGCATCATTAGTATTTTTATTAGGCCTGAATCCAAATTGGCAGGGGTTGAGAATGTTATGGGAGATGAAGTAGGAGTGGATTCGTTATGAAATAATTTTTCGAAGATTTTTGAGAGAGGGTGTAAATTGGATAAAGGCCTATAGTTTTCAACCTGTTTGGTCTCCTCCTTTTTGGATCGGGTGACCCTTGTTATTTTGAGAACTGTAGGGGAAAGGGGGAGGATTCAATGGATTTGTTAAAGAGGTTGCAATGATTGGTGATAGTACTTGTGACACTTTTTTGTATATAAAGGGTGGTAAAAGTATTTAAATCTCCTGCCTTGTTTTTCAGTGCGTTGATAATAAGGGGGACTTCGTAAGGGTTAGTCGGGGCTAGGAACAGTGGTGTTTGGGTAGTTGCCAGTGAGGTAGTCATTTGGTGGGGTATCTGAGCTTGGGATATTTGCAAGGTTTTGACCTTATAGTGGAGAAGAAATCATTGAGTCTGTTTTTCTGTTTCTGTTGGTGGGAGTTGGGTTCATCTGATTTGCTAATTTTATTCGCTATAATCGTGATATCTTTTTTGTTCCCAGAATTTCTGATAGGGTCTTCCAGGGCTTTTTTATATTTACCTCGTAGTTTTGGGTAATCTGTTTTTCATAATACAATTTTTTTGCCCTTCTTATCAGCTGGTTAGGATTGACGAAACGTTTTGTTTGGTCTCTGGTTATGTGACCCATTCTGTACTGTTTTTCATATCGGGGTTTTGTATTTATGGATTTGAGAATGCTGGGTGTTAGCCAGGACTGTTCAGTCTCTTAGCTGTCATCTGTTTAGTTTTTTAGGGCAGTGCTTGTTAAAAAAGGTATTGGGTCTTTTTTAGAAAATTATTAAAACATTCGTCAATATCTGTATAGATTTCTAGCTCAGTGTGCCAGTCAATGTTTGTTACTGCTGTTGTGAGTTTTTAATGGGTGCCTCATTGTGAAGTCTGAAGGTGACTTTAGTAGTGTCTTGGGGGATTTTACCAAGAGTTGTTATGAGGAAAGTAGGGTAGTGGGCTGTGGTATTATCTTAATTATGCCTGATTTAAAGGGGATTATGGTGTTGGTCCAGATGTGGTCAAGTAGGGAAACACTAGTCTCTGTAACTCTTGTAGGTTTTTTTTACTGTTGGTAGCAACATGCAGTTACTCATTTTGGTTTGTGAATTCAGTAACGTGTGGGTCCTGGTCTTGCAGGAGATTTATATTGAAGCACCTGAGAGTAGTAAGTGATCTTGTTCATCGTGCAAACATTATCATACTTTAGGTTTTGACTAAATTGGCTAATGTTTGATTGTTGGGAAATTTTGTAGATGTTTATCACTGTGAGAGGTTTTTGTAGGGGTTTGGATTTGAATTTAGCTATTATATATTTCCCCATGTTCATCCCTTTTTGGGAAGGTTATTAGTGATACATTCTAGTTGGTCTGAGTAGTATATAGCTGTGCCACCCACTTGTTGGTCTGGCCTACAGTTGTGTATGGCTGTGTAACCAGGAATGGCATAGACATCTGTAGTATCAGGCTTTAGCCAGGTTTCAGTTAGTGTAATAATGGACATATTGGCATGCAAGGAATTTAGTAATGCTAGGAGGTCATCATAATGCTTGCTTAAAGATCTGATATTGTAGTTAAAGATAGTTATGTTGTTGTTGGCTCTGAGAAGTGCCTTTGATTGTTCTGCTGTGTAGTAATTACAGTAACTGTTTGAATCATTTAAGTCATTAAATAAGAGGTTGGTATCAGGATCAATGCTTGTAATCATAAGATTTGTAGTGAATCTATAGTTAAAATTAAGTAAAAAATAAAGTAAATATTCTAAAGCTAAAAAAAATAGCACCTGAATTATTTAACAAATGTAAAAAATAATGAGCTAAGGTAGTTTTTTAAAGCTAAAATAAAGGAGACAATATAAAAGGGACTAAAATAATTTGTGGTGAACAAATAAAGTGATGATCAAATAATGGAGCTTGGGAATATGATAGTAGGTAGTACTTTAAAGGTAATTCTTTAAAGTTAGAATTATAAAATTATAATATAAAAGGGACTAATATAAGTTGTGGTGAACAATAAAGTGGTAATCAAATAAATGAGCTTTGGAGTATAATGGCAAAATAGTGAACTTATTAACTTTAGCACCTGAGAATAGCACCTTGATTAGTTTAACAATTGCGAATATATGATCTAAGGTAGTTATATAGAGCTAAAATAAAGGACAAAAAATATATAAGGGACTACAATTGAGTAATGGTAAACAAGTTAAATGGACAGATAGTCACTATGAAATAATATTGGTTTAGGAGTAAGATCTGATTTGTAATATTAAATAAGTTGAGCAGTTTATTGCACAATAAAAAGTAAAAAAAAAATGAGATAGTTGGTACTAGCTAGCAAAAGATAGTATTGGTACTTGCAAAAAAGTAATTGGAATATACACTAATTGCACACACAATAAAAAGTGACTAAAAAAACAAGTAGTGGTAAACAAAATTAAATGGACAGGTAAGAACAATGAATAATGGTAATGTCTTGGTTATAATATGATAGTAAGATGGTAGACAGGTACAAAGGATAATATAAAGGTTGGAGTTGAATATGCAAACTTGAAAATTTGGCAACAAAATGTTATGGGAAGTATATACTTCTGAAATGAAAAAATATCGTTAAACGGGGGTCCACTGTACTTCTAAACTGTTGTATTCTGGGCACCTCTGCAAAAACAGTGATTATGTGTGAGGTGAAAGTGTTGAATGATGATTTAAGTATTTTCTTTTTGGGGATTTTCTTTCTTTTTGGGTCACCCTTCCTTGGTGGGAAACGGCCGACTTGTTGAAAAAAAAAGTCTACTGTAGATATAAATCCAGATGTACTCCTGTTAGCCCCTCTTGGGGCCTAGTTTCTATGCCTTTTGTGTACCCATATGCTCTTGTGTTACATTCACAGGATGGATATGGGGGTCCACAATAAATTAGTCATTTTGACGGCAAAATCTAATGCGTGCTGCCAGGTTTAGCGCTTTATTTGATTATAATACTACTACTACATGTTGCCAATATTTGAAAGAGTGCATGGAAGGTAAAGTGGACTTACTGAGATGGCACCTAAAGCAGCTACTTAATCAGCTGATGCATTCTCACCAAAAAACTTTATAAAGTTCACTGCATTTGTCAAAACTTCCACTGCTGTGAAGGCCATCCTTCCTTCTCTCAGTTTTATAATAAGATAGTTTTGTGCTTTATCAGAGCACTAAGGGGACTCCCCCTTTCTGTTTTTTTTTCCTCAATCCACATATTAAACAACTCTTCCATCTTATTTAGCAGTAAATGACCTTTGGCATTTTGAGCAGGTAAAAATATACTGCTGCACAATATAAAGGCTTTCTAGCATTATTTAAGCTTTTGGTTGCACTTCTTGAAATGTGTCGCAAGAAAATCACACTGCAAAACGTCACTAAGTGGTTTACTGTATTGAAGATAGAAATAAATGCACAATTTTTCCCATCTTCTCTTGGAGGCATCCAGTTGCCAAAACAACTTCAATAAAAGAAAAATGTATTCAAACCATAAAACTGACTTAACCGATGGAAAAGCTGGATGCCTTAAAAGTCTAGCTGCAAGCTTAACATAGCCAGAGATTTAAAAAAAAAAAAATTGTGTAATGATACTGATTATGCGACACTGGAAGTAGATGCAATACAGAGGTTCAAACAAATGATCATATAAACTAATTTTGTCACAATTCCAGGCCCATGTCGACTGTAATTCCACTTATGCATCATGTGTAAGTGGAATTACAATAAACCCTCAATTTAACTGACTATTTGGGAAAGCAGGTGGTTGGCAATGGTGACTGGTGTAAAGATGAGATTTGTTTTGCAGTGATCATAACATACAATGAGCTTTATTTGTTGTTTCCAAATGATATAACTACTGGTTTTGTCCCATTTTCTGTAGTTTCTCAAACAGATTTTACTGTACCAATAGAAATTAGATGCATAACAGCAAATTTTAATAAAGCAGACCAATGTAAAGCAAGGAAAATGCATATTACATCTATAAGCTGTAAAATTCACATATGTTTAGTGTTTGTTTTTAAAAATTTTTAAAAAAACTAAACCTGCATGGTCATTCAACAGAGGTGCATTACATCAAGCAAGAGTTCAGAAGGGCCCAGGGGAAGGTGATAAGACCCCCTCCCACAAAATTGACCTAGTAATTGCAAGTAAAAAAAGGACTGACATAAAATGAGCATATTTGTAATATTGTGTTTACTATTTTCATACTACATATTTTTTTCAAAATGTACACCTGTATATATACACACTGTAAATAGAAATTCTTTGTTTTTTTAATGTATATACTTTACTGAAAAATAAAGGGAAAGCCATGTTGAACAAATCAGAATGAATTTATACTTTGAACCTGAAAATTTGATAACTGTAGAAAAATGCATAAGAAAAAAAAAAAGGTAGAAATAGGGCAGTTTAATTCAAAACAATGATGCAATATATAACAAATACTATATACAGCCAAAATATTAATGTACACTCCTTCATACCAATACCATACTGCATTCCTTGCAGTTATACATGTTTACATAATCCAATAAATTAAATTTCCAACATGCAACAAGTATAAATAATCTAAAATTCACATAAAAAAAATTTGTCCACGTTAGGTAAAACTTGTCATGTGTACATATTTCTTAACGACACATTCACAAATGTCTCATTTTGTGCACTATTTTATTTTCAAGACTTTTTTCACAGCCTTGATTACATCATGAGGCTGTGGAATGCAAGCTATTTCTAAACTTTTAGCATACGGCATAGGCACATCAACTCCAGTCACCCTAATCACTGGAGATTCTAGGTAGTGGTAAGCTGGACCTGGACAAACAAAAGTACTCTATTAGAAAATGTATTTAGCACTCCTTTTATGTGTACTGAAATATCTAAAGAATAAAAAGGCACAATACCATGACTGGAACAATACATAACACACACATAAGAGCATAAAACTTGGACCAGTAATTAATCATACAGAAGTGCATTAGGAAAGGGAGCTAGTATATAAAGTGTTAGACTTGTTGACACTAATAATGCTCTTATCTGTCATGTAGGGATCACAGACATCCTATTAATGGGTCCTCTGACAAAACTGTCTACCCTTCTGGCCTTCACAGACTCGACCTCTGAGAGAGGTACATATAACAATTTTTTTTTAATGCTGTTAAAATAAGTTTTTTCTTACTTAACACTGTTGATGATAATGCTTTGTGAAATATTTGAGCTCTAGTAAGGTTCAGACAGTTAAAAGAATATACTACATTAGTTTAAAAATTGTTAAATTAATACTGTACATTTGTTTCTTACACTTGAGTTCAGGACACCTAATGTGTTGAAGGGTTTTCAAATATGACATCATTCACTCATCCATTACTTCAACTGTAGAGAAGTTAATATAATTCCACCATCACTTAAACATTTTTTTTTAACAAGCTGGCCATTTCCCACCAAGGCAGGGGTGCTCAAAAATGAAACACTTTTATCATCACTCATTCACTGTCTTGCCAGAGGGGTGTGTACACTACAGTTTAAAAACTGCAGCATATCTCCATCCCTCCTTCAGAGTGCAGGCACTGTACTTCTACCTCCAGGACTCAAGTCTGGCTGACCGGCTTTCCTGAATCCCTTCATGTTATTTTGCTCACACTTCAACAGCACATCAAGTCATAAAAAACATTTGCATCCACTCGCTTCTAACACACACATGCATGCTTGCTGGAAGTCTAAGCCCCTCACACACAAAACCTCCTTTACCTCCTCCCTCCAACTTTTCCTAGGACCCCTACACCACCTTCCCTCCACTACAGGTTTATACACCCTCCCAGTCATTCTATTTCATTCCACCTTAAAATGTCTGAACCACCTCAACCCCTCCCTAGCCCTCTGGACAACACTTTTAGAAACCCCACAACCTCCTCCTAATCTCCAAGCTACAGATTCTCTGCCTAATATTCACACCACACATTGCCCTCAGACACAACATCTCCACTGCCTCCAGCCTTCTTCATGCTGCAACAACCACCACCCATGCTTCACACCAGTATAAGAGTGGTGGTACCACTATACTCTCATACAGTGCTAATTATGGCATTATGCCGGGTGAGCGCCCCAGCATAATGCAGTGACAAAAATCAAGGGTCTTTTTTCATCAGTGCATTATGCTGGGTAGCAGCTGTTAGCCACACTCCACAGTGACTCCTCAGTGCTCACATGGCTGCCGTGGTGAGAGGAAGTGTTGCACTTTTGTCTCTCATCCGCCCCATCTTTTGTCCGGTGTTCCTTTTGGTTTTGGGGCTATACATGTTTGATTATGGGTAAAAGGAAGTTTTTAACATCTGAAACTATAGCTCAAATCATAGGGCTTCACAAACCTCGGCACCAGACAAAAGAAATAGTGAAGAATGTTGGTGTGTATGTGTGTGAGTGTTCAATGAGGAACTGAGTGCAGCGTTTCAAGGCTGGTGGCGATGTCGAGTTACCGTCTGCCAAACCTTGGCCTGGCCCCTTGAAGAAGATATCTGTTCGTACCTTAACTGTGTTAAAGAAGCAGTTAGAGAGTACACCTAAGATAACTGCTAGAGAATTGAAAGAAAAGAACCCACATCTTCTCTCAGAGGTGTCTGTAAGAACTGTTAACAGACATGAGTCAGAAATGGGTTATATTAGTCGCTGCCAGGTTAAAAAACTGATCTTCTCCAAGCCACAGAAGAAACATAGGCTGGATTATGCAAAGAAATATCTTCACTGGAATCCTCAACAGTGGTCTGAAGTACTTTGGAATGATGAAGCAACCTTCACCGTCACCTGTAACTGTGGGGGATGTGTAATGGCCCAGAAGTAGTGACCCACTAGACCCACACTACACCTATGGGACCACCAAACACCAAGACTCGCTCATGGTTTGGGGGTGTTTCAGTGCTCAGAATATTGATGAACACATTGTGCTTCCCAAAAACCAGTAAATGAACCAGTATAATTACCTGGAGTTATTGTGTGACAATTTACCTGAGACATTTGATGAGTGTGGCGCTACTGTTGTTATGCAGGATGGTGCACCATGTCATACCCCCAAATCTGTAGTTCAGTGGCTTAAGGACTATGAAGTGAGGTTCTTTAATGACTGGCCAGGCAATTCCCCAGACCTAAACCCTATTGAGAACCTCTGGTTGATAGTGAAACGAAGTTTACCGGGGAAGAATTTCAGTTCTATCCCGCAGCTGGAGGCTGCTCTACACAAGGCATGGAATAATATACCTCCCCAAACCCTCAAGAATTTGTGTGAAAATCTTTCTACATGGCTGAGGGACGTGATTAAGCATAAAGGATGCAGAACCAAGTATTAAAACCTCAGTAAGTGTGCAAATACAGCGGACCCTTGGCTAACGAACGCATCGCATAATGTTAAATCTGCCCAAAGAAGCATTCGAGCGTAATTATTTTGGCCTGGCTAACAATAAAAAACTCGCCCAGCGTGATTTGTCTGGTATGTGTCCACATGTGGCCTGAGCGCACCTCAGCTGCCCCGTGTGTGCCAATGTTTACAAGCCAGCCAGCACGGTCGCATCTACGCATACATTTGGTACATATAGTATCACAGTGTTTTTAGTGCTTGTAACTGCAAAATAAGTCACCATGGGCCCCAAGAAAGCTTCTAGTGCCAACACTGTGGTAAAAAGGGTGAGAATTAGTATGGAAATGAAGAAAGAGATAATTGCAAAGTACGAAAGTGGAGTGCGCGTCTCGGAGCTGGCCAAGTTGTATACCAAACCCCAATCAACCATCGCTACTATCTTGGCAAACAAAACGACAATCAAGGAAGCTGTTCTTGCAAAAGGTGCAAGTTTGTTTTCGAAACAGAGATCGCAAGTACTCGAAGATGTTGAGAGACTGTTATTGGTATGGATAAATGAAAAACAGATATCAGGAGATAGCATCTCACAAGCGATCATATGTGAAAAGACTAGGAAGTTGCATGACGATTTAATTAAAAAAATACCTGCAACTAGTGGTGATGCGAGTGAATTTAAGGCCAGCAAAAGTTGGTTTGAGAGATTTAAGAATTGTAGTGGCATACATAGTGTGATAAGGCATGGTGAGGCTGCCAGTTCAGACCAAAAAGTGGCTGAAAAATATGTGCAGGAATTCAAGGAGTACATAGAGGCTGAAGGACTGAAACCCCAACAAGTGTTTAATTGTGATGAAACAGGCCTGTTTTGGAAGAAAATGCCAAACAGGACCTACATTACTCAGGAGGAAAAGGCACTCCCAGGACATAAGCCTATGAAAGACAGGCTTACTCTTTTATTGTGTGGTAATGCTAGTGGTGATTGCAAAGTGAAGCCTTTATTGGTGTATCACTCTGAAACTCCCAGTGTTGTGTTGTGATGTGGAGGGCAAACAGTAACGCATGGGTCACTAGGGACTTTTTCTATGACTGGTTTCACCATGTGTTTGCCCCCACTGTGAAAAATTACCTCCTGGAAAATAAATTAGACCTTAAGTGCCTCCTGTTATTAGACAATGCTTCTGGTCATCCTTCAGACTTGGCAGAGCGAATTTCTGGGGACATGAGCTATATCAAAGTGAAGTTTTTGCCTCCTAGTACCACTCCTCTCCTGCAGCCCATGGATCAGCAGGTCATTTCAAACTTCAAAAAACTCTACACAAAAGCTATGTTTCCAAAGAGCTTTGAAGTGACCTCAGACACTCGACTGACCCTAAGAGAGTTTTGGAAAGATCACTTTAGTATCCTCAGTTGTGTAAACCTTATAGGCAAGGCTTGGGAGGGAGTGACTAAGAGGACCTTGAATTCTGCTTGGAGGAAATTGTGGCCAGAATGTGTAGAAGAGAGGGATTTTAAAGGGTTTGGGGCTAACCCTGAGAAGCCTATGGCAGTTGTGGAATCTATTGTGGCACTGAGAAAGTCCTTGGGGTTGGAGGTTAGTGGGGAGGATGTGGAAGAGTTGGTGGAGGAGGACAATGAAGAACTAACCACTGATGAGCTGCAAGAGCATCTGCAACAGCAAGAGGCCAGACCTGAGGAAACTGCTTCAAAGGAGGGCAGAGAGAAACTGAAGAAATTGCCTACTTCAAAGATTAAGGAAATGTGTGCAAAGTGGGTTGAACTGCAAACCTTTATGGATGAAAATCACCCTAACAGCTATTGCAAGCCATGCTGGTGACTATTACCATGACAATGTTGTGGCCCATTTTAGGCAAATCTTTAAGGAACACGAGGTACAGAGCTCTATGGACAGATTTGTTGTGCGACAGAGGTCCAGTGACACTCAAGCTGGTCCTAGTGGCATTAAAGGAAGAAAGAAACCCAGGAAAAGGACTTGCTACCTCAAGTCCTCATGGAAGGGGATTCCCCTTCCAAACAATAACCTCCACCATCTCCCCTCCTCCCATCCCATCAATCATCACCAGATCTTCAATAAAGGAAAGTCTCATGTATTCTTTATTTAGTACAGTAGTAATTGTGCATGTCTTCTTCTTTTTGTGTGTAGGAAAATGTATATTTCATGTGGTAAAAAATTTTTTTTTTTTCATACTTTGGGGTGTCAGGAACAGATTAATTTGATTTCCATTATTTCTTAGGGGGAAAATTAATTCAGCTAACGATAATTTCATCTAACGATGAGCTCTCAGGAACGGATTAATATTGTTAGCCGAGGGTCCACTGTATATATGTATATTATAATCTTCCATGGTATGTGTTTGTGTTTTGGTACATGAGTGGGGGAGGGCCGGCATAATGCCGTGACTAGCACTCTACATTCCCCTCTTTACTTCCATGGATAATGTTGTCTCCACAGACT